GATAGTTTGGTTGCATATATTGAAAACGATGTACTTAACAATATTGATAACGATATAATTATATGACGTTTTTAGAGTATGAAAACGTGTAGGCTACAATTATAATAACGTATTGACTTATTTTCGTTAATGATATGTAGTTCTAAATATTTTTGAATTCTCATTTTTGACCCCACAAGATAAATGGTCTGGGTTCGTCCCTAATCTCAGGCCCTTATCAAGTGGTTCAAAACTAAGAACTCGTTATTTGGTTTGTAAATTTCAGATTTTCCAAATGGCGAAGTACAAAGTAAGCTCGAAGCCACACGAGATAAGCGCATGTTGATAATTATTTTGAAACGGTGAAACACTACGCATGTATAGATAAGCGAACTCATGATAGCTAGATCGTCACATTGAATTAAAGGCTTATTAGCATAATATGTTCTCAATTAAATATTGTAAAATGACTATATACCCACCTATTAAAATAAAATAAAATAAATTTAAAAATAAAGAACAAATTGCAATCATACTCCGAACTTTAAAAAAAAAAATACAAATAAGGTGAGTTGAATTTTCATGTAATTGTTTAAAACCAAACCTGGGCTTTTTCCTGTAAAGTAATTTCTTGATTATTCTTGTTTCAGAAGTAGCTGGGAATAAGGATTCCAAGCTGGAATTTTCTGAAGATGAAGAAATGCTCATGGCAAGAATGTTCAGTCTGCTTGGACCAAGGTTAGTTTGTACTCAAATCACCTTATGGGATTTTTACCCTTAAAAAAGCTGTTTCATTTGTTCGTGGTCGTGAAGAGAATTGGGTGTTTGATGTGTTTATTTGGAGCAGATGGACTTTAATTGCTGGAAGAATACCAGCAGAAGAGATTGAGAAGTACTGGAATTCAAAGAAGACTTTGGCTACAGAGAATAAACATTTGGATCTCAAGTCTCAACAGTCTACCAATGATATATAAATACATATTTGGAGGTGGTGCCTTGGGTGGGAGAGGGAGAGGGAGAGGGAGAGGGAGATTTTTTTATTTTTAATTTAATTTATTTAAGATTTATTTGTATTTTTTTATTTTATTTAAATAAGAGGGTATATTTATTATTTTATAATTTTTAATTGAAAAATTGAATAAAAATTAATGAAAATGATGTTTTTCACACCGAAAGGTAATAAGGATGAAAATATAAAAAAAAAATTGAAACGTATGGACTTTTTCACACTACAGACCAAACATAAGGATGTTTTATGCTAATAAACCTTAAATTAAACATATCAAAATTCAATTAAATCGACTAGGTAACAAATTTGACAAAGTGGATTTACTAGACCAAAAATATTGAATTATACTGCCTAAAACTAGATGTACACATTTTTGGAATTCACATGTAAATATTGCTGTCTAAACATTTTAATAAAAGCCTCAACTCTCTCATTCAATTCCTCCTTCGAAAGCTCCAGACTCCCTTCTTTCCCATATTCATCATCTTCTTCATATTCTGCTGCAATTTTCACACATAAGCCTTCACTCTTAGGCAAGTAATTGTTGGCAGACACCAAATTAGGTCTGCATTTTTTGCTTCTCGTCTTCTTCTTCTTCTTCTTCTCTTCCTCGTATGCTTCAACACAATTGTCAACTTGATCATTTGATGGGATTTGGGTTTGCATTGTAGAGGTAAAAAGAATGGCCAAAAGCAAGAGATTGAGAGCTAAAAAAACCCACACCCTCCAATGCGTGTAGAAATAAAACCGTTCGAGGCACGCCATGAATGCTGCCATTCCTGCTGCAAACCAGACTGGTTTTAGTTCTCCTTCTCTATTCTTATTTTCTGCCATTAAAACTTTGCTCTCAACTCTCAAGAACTGATCATCGGGCCATTTTATAGAGTGATGAAGCAATTTGGTAGGGGAAATATGGCTTTGTAATGAAGGGATCGTGGTGGGATTGGGACAAGAAGACATTTTGATTCCGCCGTAGGAGCATCAGTGGACTACCTTATGATTGCTTCAACTTAGGAACTGTTCTTGTTAATGTTGGGTTTTGTGCATGCCTTGTGCTTTAGGCGTGCACCGGCTTTAATTTGGTATATTCTTTTGCATCATTTTCCTTAGTACATTTATGGAAGTAAAATTACATATAAAGGGTGTTGGGGTCTCCTTGATTTGTATATATGAATATTTAAATGAATTTTTACATGAGGAATTGTTACCATCATATAGACGTCAAATTCTAGCGCCTGTTTGGGCTCCATTTTACCAAGAAAATGCATTTTGGAATAGTAAAAATTTGAAAAATATGTGGTTCAAAAATAAGGAAAAAATTTGGGTTTGTATGTAAAATTATTTTATGAGAAAACGTATGATTGAAATGAGTGCTAAAAAAATGAATTTTGAGAAGATCAAATGGGTGCCTAATTTTGGATCTTTGAAGTGAGATCACATTTTTTGTCTCAAGAGTTATTGTCCCTTCGACTATCTCACAAATACATCATCAACACATGGACTCATCTTCTCTTCGTTACACGTTGGAAGATACCATGAGAGTGTTTGGTGGGGATTAAAATTAGATTTTTAGTAGATTGTGATAGAAGTTTTTGAAATGTATGATTAAAAAGTTGTGGGACGCATGAAAGATATTGCTAATATTAATTGTTTAATTTTCACTTGGATTAAAATCATATTTTAATTCGAACCAAATAGGATCATGTATCCGAGGTGTCAACAAGAAGTGAGCTCGTTTAAACTACAATATTCCAACATAAGGGTGGGGCCCCACTACATTAAGGTGCAGCGTTTTGCTAGGAGAGATGAATGCACGCCTATAGGCCATTGCAGTCACACAGTGACTAGCTGACCCTACATGTCCAAATGCTCAATTGCTCATCATCAAGATATGAACTCTTTGTTTCCAGTTTCATAATTAAGGTTTCGGGAAAAAAAAAAATTGTGTGATTTTTTTTATTTATTTATTTATTTTACTTTTTAAGGTAAGACACTAAGGATCCGTTGGATTGAAAGAATAAAATTTGGGTGAAAAAAAACGAATTTCGAAAAATTGAATTGTCTAGAACTTGTTTTACTGAAAATTGTCAATTAATTGTGTTTGATTGGTATAATTTTTCACTTGAAAAATGTTGAAATTTTCCATCTTTTGGTGTTGATTGGCTTTACTTTCCATGAAAATTGTATTATTTTTCCAGCTATTAGTATTTGATAGCCATTTATAAGAATTTTCTTAACATTCAACTAACCAGCAACCAATGCAAAGAAGACGAAAGAATGACTTAAATTTGAATAGTGCAAAGAAAAATAATGCATTTTGCGATAAGAACTGATTTGAGAATAGAAAATGCAAAAACAATGTTTTTTTCTCCCTTGCCAAAAAAACAAAAAACCAGCTCACCCATGAGAATTTCAATTCCTCATTTTTGTGGAATAAAGGATCACATGACCGAAAATGAGAGAAGCAATTGCCAAGAAAATATTTCCTATCAATCGGGCTAAAGAGTGGAAATGGTGGGATAATTTCCAACTCCCACGAAAAATTTGGCTTAGCAAACAGAGTCTAAGCTATATTAGATAAATTTAATTAGTTGTACTGAAATTCCATAAAAAAGTCAGTATAATTCCTAAAAATCTATATATATATATTGGGCAACCTGGTCATTTTATCAAAATGATTGCTGAGTGTCACAACCTATCTAGTGAAACTAGAATGAAATTTTAGGATAAAATAATGTTATTTATATCTGTTAGAGATGATTATTTGTTTATGTAACATATTATGTACCATGATAAGATCATTTAAATGTATAAAAATAGAATTTATTTATTGATCTCATTATTTAATTTTATATCACGTGGTGGTGATCATCATCAGCGGAGATAAATATTAAAGCTCTATTGGATATGAGCCTAATCATGTCCTTGACCATTGGTTCTGTGTGCACAATGGGCTGTCCTCACGCACAAGGCCCACTTAGTGATCTCACCATTTCAGTACCAGAATCTTGCGACCAACATTTACTCGATACTTGATCAAAAAATTGTCGATTTTACACCATATGGACTAAATAAATATGTAGTGAAAACATTTCTCAAATTATAAATTTAACCTTAAATAATAAAAATTAAAAAGAAAAAGCAATTAAATTGTTCTAAATCTCTAGTCATTTAAATCACGGACTGCATTTGCTACTGATAATTTTTTAGTAATGCTAAATGTACACTTTTACAACAAAATAGTAGTAATGAAAAGAGTAATGCTAGATGTACACGTTTGTGTACATCTAGTTTGACACTCCCCACTCATGAGGGGTGGGGTCGTCGATTTTAAAAAGCACGGGCCCCACCCCCCATGTGAGGGGAGTGTCAAACTTGTTGTACACAAAAGTGTACAATAAGAATTATCCATAATTTTTAGTTTTTAAGTTTGTGATAATTTATCTCTCTTTTTGGCTTTTGAGTAGTATTATTCTGTTTGGTGCACATTTATCTAGTTTCGGTGCAATTTCGGGTCGACTTTTCTAATTAAAATGTCCATTCTTAGGTTCAATGTCCCTTCATTTCCAATGAGAGCTGGGATTATCACCAATTTTCCACCATTCTTCTAATTCCATTTTTCAAGTTTCAGCCAATTCTTTTGACCTTCATTTATCATTAACTCGAAATTGATTTAAAGCAAGTAAATATAGCTCTTGTTTGAGCTCCATTATTTGAAAAAAAAAATGATTTTGAAATGGTGTTTTTTGAAGAATGTACGGTTAAAAAGCAAGGAGAATTTTTAGGTTTATGTGTAATATTATTTTATTAAAAGAATGTGTGGTTAAAAAGAGGAGAGAGAAAAATAAATTAAAATTTATTGGTGGCCAAACATTTGCAAGTAAGAATTTAAGGCTGAATATTGCACAAGAAAAAGCTGCTTCATCAGTCCATTTACGATGGTATATATACAGATTACAACTGATATTTGTTGCAACAAAATGAGAAGGAATATACTACATCATCCTATTAGAAAGTGGTAGGTGTCTAACTACTTATATTCCAAATTCCATAAATCCAAGACATTCATTTTGCACTGATTGTATTGTTATGATTGTGGTCCAATTCTAACACCCCCTCTCAAGGTGGAGTATCTTTCAAAGACTCCAAGCTTGTCTCTGAGGAATGCAAACCTGGAGTATCCAAGTGGCTTTGTCAATAGATCTACTATCTGATCAGAGGATGGAACATAGTAAACTTCAAACTCTTTCTTCAGCACCTTATCTCTTATAAAGTGAACATCCAGCTCAATGTATTTTGTTCTTGCATGATACACGGGATTGGATGCTAGTGCTCCTGCACTCAAGTTGTCACACCATATTTTAGGAGTTGATTTGAGCGAGGAGATAATCCAAGCAATCTCAGAAGCACTGTAACCTAATGCCCTGTATTCAACTTCGGTGCTTGACCTCGCAACCACATGTTGTTTCTTTGAGCAACATGATACTAGGCTGTCACCAAGATACATGCAATAGCCAGCAGTGGATCGCCTGTCGTCTGGGCATGACGCCCAATCAACATCAACAAAGGCGATTATGTTCAAATTTTCACTTTTCTGAATAATCAAACCATAGTTGTGTGTTGTAAGTATTTGAAGACTCGTTTCAGCACCTTCCAGTGTGCATCCGTGGGAGTTTGAAGAAACTGACTTAGCTTGTGTATGGAATAGGTGACGTTGGGTCGTGTATGAGTTAACTATTGAAGCGGACCAATTGCACTTCTATAGAGTGTTGGATCACTCATGTCTTTGCCTTCAACTTTTGAAATTTGCTTTCCCACTACCATAGGAGTCATGCTTGGCTTCAGATTTTCGTACTTGAACTTCTTGAATAAATCAGTTAGGCTAAATCCCAAAAATTCTGTGAACATCAATTCCCAAAAATTGGCTAAATCTTCCCATATCCTTGAGGGCAAAACATTCATTTAGTTTGTTAATGAAGGTCTGTAGCTGCTGTTCTATTACTCTCGGTGATAATGATGTCATCTAGATAGACTAATGTAAAGAAGATCTAATCTTTATCCACCAAGAAGTACATGGAATTGTCTGCCTTCGATTGTTTGAACTTCCACTACAAGAGAATGTCCTTCAACTTATCATGCCACACCCTTGGTGCTTGCCTGGGCCCATATAATGCCTTTTTCTAGTTTATAGACAAAATGTGGAGTGTTTTGCTGCACAAAACCTTGTGGTTGTTCCATGTAGACCATCTTATCCAACTTTCCATTTAGAAGCATTGTTTACATCCACTTGTCTTATGTCCCAATCTTTAGAAACAGCAATTGCAAGTATGATTTTTAGAGAAGAAGATTTAATAACAGGACTGAATGTTTCTTTGAAATCTATCCCAAGTGTCTGCAAGAACCCCTTGGCAACCAGTCTCGCCTTGTACCTTTGCACCTTTCCTTCTACATCACACTTTAGCTTGAACACCCACTTACTCCCAATCACCTTTCTTCCAGGCTTTGGGGGTACAAGCTTCCAAGTTTTGTTTTTTATCAGTGCGTTATACTCCTCTTCCATTACCTTTCTCCAGTTAGTGCTTGATAGAGCCTCATTCACATTTTGTGGTTCACAGTCAATCAGTTCCTCTGAATTCTGACTAATGTAGACCTTTGGTTTGAAAATTCATGTCATACTCCTTGTAACCATATGATGACCAGTGTGTGTAAATTATTCTCATTTCTAACAATCTACTCACTGAATCCATTTTCTTCTGATATAGCTCGATCAACCTCAGGAATACCTTCATTCATATTACACTCACGATCTAAGATCCTGCTGAAGCAACCTACAGAAGGGGCTAAACTTGGCTGGACTATATCAGCTGCAGTTTAAGAAAGAGGCATATGTCTTGACTCTGTTTCAAATGGAAGGGGATATAGACTATTTGTGATGACATGAGGTTGTTTGTGTTTATTAAGAAAGCCAGATTTAAAGGGGAATTCTTTTTCATTAAATATCACATGTCTTGAGATATAAGTTCTACATGTTTGGTTGAGGCACCTATATCTTTTTTGTAAGGGACTATAGCCAAGGGAAACATATCTTTGTGAGCGGAAATGAAATTTATGTTTCTGAAATGGCCTAAGATAGGGATAGCAGGCACAACCAAAGGTTCTTAGTGTTTTGCAGTCAAAGTTTTTTTTGTAAAGGATCTGATATGGGGACTTTTGTAAGAATAGGAGTAGGTAGCCTATTAATTAGATATGTGGCTGTTGTGAAGGATTCCCACCAGTAATGAAGTGGCAAATGAGCTTGAGCCAACAAAGTCAGCTCAACTTCAATAACATGTCTATGCTCTCTCTGCTCTCCCATTTTGTGATGAGGTATAAGGGCATGAATATCTTAGTTCAATGCCTAATTTTGAAGCAACTTGGTTAAAATTTCTATACTCACTTCCCCAGTCTGATTGTAAGACTTTTATCATCCTTTCAAGTTTTTTTTCTATCATTTGTTTGAATTGTACAAATGCACCTAAAGCTTCTGATTTTTGTCTCATAGGGTAGATCCAGGTGTATCTGCTATAGTTATCCACAAACAAGATATAGTACCTAAAGCCACAGGTAGAACTCTTTGGTGCATGTCCCCACACATCACTGTGTACCGAGTCTAGAGGGTTTAGAGCATGTGAAGTGGAGTTGTTGAAGGGTAATGCATGAATTTTTCCCAGTTGACAAGCTTCACAGAACTTTGGAATTTTATTAGTTTTGATAATTTTATTACATAACTTCAAAACTTGACTCAATACAGGATATGATGGATGGCCTAATTTCCTATGCCAGGCATCTAACTGTGACTCATCAACATTTTTGGCTGACTCACTAGAATTTGCATCTAATGAGAAGGCTGCAAGACTGAAATTATTTTAGTGGCTTGACTTCTTAGCTGCAGGTTCGGGTTTTGAATTAGACAACTCCAGTTGATATAGTCCATCTCTAAGTGTCCCTTGCAGCAGTATTTTCTTCAATTGCAGATCCTTAACAAGACAATGATGAGGATAAAACTCCATAAACACATTATTATTAAGTGTTAACTGTGACACACTGACTAAATTCTTTTTTATGGAAGGCACATGCAACAACTTATTTAACGTGAGGGATTTGGCACTCAAAGTAGGAATATCAGTTGCAATGTTCATACAATCTCCATTACCAACAAATAACTTCTGCTTACCTCCATAATCCTGGACAGTCAGCATATTACTTTTGTCAATAGTCACGTGGTTGCTGACTCCTGAATCTACAAACCAAGCAGGATCTCCAACGGTGCTTGGTGAGGCTATACAAGCTGTAGGATGTGAGCTCTTAGTCTGATTGTTTGGTCTGCTTCCCATGAACCTATCATCGTATCTGTTATAACACCAACTGGCTGATTGATTGCTGAGCCCACAAATTTGACATGGACCTTGGTTCTCAACTATCCTTCCTGCTCTACCTCTTCTAGTTCTACCTCTGATATTCGAAAACCTTCCAGGTCTGTTAAATCTTCCATCTTTTAGTCCACCTCTTTGAGCTAGATTTACACTGGATTGGTTGATATTTATTGAGGCCATTTCATTACTCACTTGATTGAGATACCCAAGCCTACTCTCAAATGTCATAAATACCAATGAGAGTTCATGCCAGGAAATTTCATCTCTACTATTGATTTGTACTACAATTGGAATATACTTTTTATCCAGCCCAGCAAGAACTTGTGTTACCAAGTCACTGTGATGTATTGTCTTCCCAGCAATTTGCAAATTATCTGCCAACTGTTTGATACTTGCAAGGTACTGATCCATAGACATGGATCCCTTTCTGGTCCTTTGCAACTCACCAGTGAGAAACGTTACTCTTGATTTATTTAGTATGCCATAGCTTTCTTTAATGGCATTCCAGAGTTTGCTAGAACTGGTATTTTCCATAACTCTCATGGCAATCTCAGGTGTCATGGAAGAATACAACCATCCCATAAGCAACTGGTCAATTGAGATCCACATGTTGTACTCAGGATTTTAGGTCATCTCAACAGATCCTCATTCCCTTGTTGTGGTTTGAGTTGCTATGAACGCTGGAGGGCATAACTTTGTTCCCAGTAGTTACTCTTCAAGATGATGACCTCTAACTATTGACATTATCATGTTTTACCATAGCAAGAAGTTATCTTTGTCCAGTTTCACAGAGGGAGTTTGTGTGAGATTCAATCCAAATGGAGAAATCTGACTCACTCCAATTTGTGTGGAAGCTGTTGTGTTCAGCTCAGTAGAAATGGCTGGATTTCCTGATCCGAAATTGGCCATTTTTCTCTGATACCAAGTAAGAATTTAAGGCTGAATATTGCACAAGAAAAAGCTGCTTCATCATTCCATTTACGGTGGTATATATACAGAGTACAACTGATGTTTGTTGCAACCAAATGAGAAGGAATATACTACATCATCCTATTAGAAAGTGACAGGTGTCTAACTACTTATATTCCAAATTCCATAAATCCAGGACATTCATTTTGCACTGATTGTATTGTTATGATTGTGGTCCAATTCTAACATTGCATAGTATGACGATCTACTCACGGTGTAAAACATGTTTAGCTAAAGAACTCTCGCATTCCATTAAGGAGAACTGCTCAAATAATTGATCAAAATCGATCCAAACCAACTTATAAACTAACCAATATCCAACAAGCTGTCCTAGGTTTGTTTCTTCAAATGTACTAACAGGAAAAACCAAACGACGTAAAAAAAAAACGCATATAGCAGTTGACTGGAAAATATCTAGTTTAACATTTCCATGTTGCCAATGCTCTGCTGACATGCTATTCAAAAGTTCTCCTACAAGACTTCGATTGAGAAGACTTGGCATTCGATTTTACATGCCTCTCCATCTCCACTCATCAATGGCGATCCCTCCTCTTCTCAACAGATACACTATTTTCTTAGTTTTCGTTTTGTTTTCCAACTGGGTTTACTCTGAAGACGATGTTAGATGGCTGAAAGGGGTGAAGAATTCGTTAACTGACCCAGAGGAGAAGCTTAGTTCATGGAGCTTCTTAAATACTTCGGCTGGATTCACTTGTAACTTTGCCAGGCTTTCATGCTGGAATAGTAACGAATCCCCAGCTCCTAAGCATGGAGCTTTGGGACTTCAGCCTTACCGAAAAAATTCCAGACTCTTTACAGTACTGCACCAGCCTTCAGACCCTCGATCTCTCCGATAATCGTCAGCCTGGTTCCATCCCGCCTCAAATCTACACTTGGATACCTTATTTAGTCAATCTAGATTTACCCCGCAATGATTTGAATGGTGGAATCCCCGTTGGTCTTGTAAACTGCACGTATCCAAACAACTTGATCTTAGATGACAAAAAATTGTCCGGGAATATCCCGGACGAGTTGTCGAATTTGGAAAGGATGAAAAAGCTTTTGCTTGAAAATAATGATTTATCCGAGAGGGTGCTCGCATTTAAGTACGAGTCATTGAAGCTTAATATAAGCGAGAATAGTGGGCTTTGTAGCAGAAGATGTGGATTGAGTAAAGAAAGTCTGGCCATAATTATCTCCGCAAGGGGTTGCCTGGGCACTCTTTTCAACGTTGTTAGGGTTATGTCTATGGTGGTGGTTTAATTATCGTGATTCGAAAATCCAGCATAATGTTTGAGGTACATGAAGTCCAATCATACCATGTAACGAAATGTTTGATTTATTTTGATTAATAGTTTGTTTTAAGTATTGTAGGTTGAATAAGTCAATATTGGATAATGTGAGAAATGTTCTACGACAACTATTTATAAAATTTCTCTATTTGAAGACATAATTTTACTTGCTAAAACGGGAGATCATTTTAATAAAAATTCACCTAGCTATGTACACCTATGTGCTTCACCTGTTGGCAAGTAATGGCATACACATGACCTGGTGTCATGCATGTATCCAGAGTGCTCATCTCCTCATTTGGCACGATAATGTCGTCATCAATTAGGTGTATGATTTATATTATTGAAAAGTGTACTAATGATATCATCATATGCAGATATTGTCTAATATTTTATCTATAAGCAAGTGTGTGTGCATGCGCTAGATTCGGACTTATCGACCTAAGAATGAGGAGAAGGCTGTCCTGAGGTGCGAAACCTCGTGGGTAAAACTTGCAACTTGTGATAATTGGTATCAGAGAGGGACCATTTGAATGTGCATTGTTGGTTGCTGAAGATCACCGATCTGCGTTCTTGTGAAAAAGACCTAAGGACCACAGATTGAATCGATAAGCAGGTCAAAGTGATGAAAAAAGCTTTAGGGATGATGGATGATGCAGGCAGGCATTGTGTGAAGGGACCCATCTGCTTTGTCATTTTATTTTATGGAGCGCACATTATAGAGGAAATCAGAATGATGGAGTTTGTGTCGGTGGTTTGACATATGCAGTAGTAATGCAGCAGATGTCGTCCATCCAAGGGGCTAATGCTTGAAGGGCATATGTTAAAGGTTGGTGTTAGAGGCGATTATGTATAAAGTTACTATAGGTAGATGTGTGAGCAAGCACTGTGTGGATGCCCCCGTCCATGATGGTATGGGGTCACATCGTTCTTGAAATGAGAGGAATGCGCATTGATGTGAAGCTCACTTACCATTACTAGGGCCTTTAGAAAATTTAATGAAGGTAAATGTCATGCAATGAAAGTGCTCTTCTCATCATTCAACAAGGCAAGGTTGTCAATAGCTAGACATATGACCTATAATATCGAAAAGTGCCTAATCGTATCATCATATGCAGATATTGTCTAGTATTCTATTCAAATAGAAGGCATAATAAAAACTCACCATTGCTGATATGACAGAGAAAATTGTGAGTATGGTTCCTTGAATGTATGATTGTTGTAGAGAATCATAAGTAATGTTCTTTTACTACGTCAACAGTAGGAAGTTCTTATCCTGAGATCAAATTTGCCTATTCATAAACTAACACGTGTGCTAGTTGTTTTGGGCTTGTCCGTCTAAGAATGAGGAGAAGGATACCTCAATGTGCCTAACCTTGGGGCATAAACTTGCGGTCCATGATACCTGTCTTGGGCTCAGCTGTGAGGCATGCAGGCTGGTGGTCTAGTTTATGTTGACTACTTGGCAGGTTCAGGTAAAAGGACATACCAGCTAGACACAGTCCATCTCAAAATGGGGCCATGCCTATAGGCAGGGGCGGACGCAGACTTTCGAAACTAGGGGGTATAATCTCACTTTCAGATTTTCTTTTGGAGGGAGAAAAGGAGAAACGGGATTACATGATGGATTTTGGAGATGGGAGAGAACTAAGAAGAGAGGCGACTCAGGGGGCTGGGCTATTGGAGAGAAATGAAAGGTAGATTTTAGATTTTTTTTCTTTTTATATTTAATTGAAAAAAAATCCCAAAATCTACATGGGCACATGCCCCTGTGTAAGTCCGCCCCTGCCTATAGGATGGCACGAAGTGGTTTACATCTCGACGCCTGGAAGAGCATAGACGTCTGCTAATTATGATGCCATCTATTGAGTAATATGGAAACTTATTAAAGAATTGAAACAATGATAAAGGCTACAAATAAAAGCAATTGGATGAGTTTTTAACTTTTTAATTTCTGTCTCTCGTGCGAACAAAAAGGTGACCCAGAATTTGAATCTCAGTCACTTTGGACCATGTCTCTCTTCTTCTTGAAACAATCAAAATCAAAATAAAGAAAGCCAAAAAGAGAATATTCAGACAACTTTATTTTGCAATGTTGGTATAGATAATGATATTCTATTTGTTTCTTCTCATTAGTGACTCAATAGAAAATGGAAAGTACTTTCCAAAATAATGAATGTAACTTGACAATTCTATGAACAAGGTTATAACTTGTTTTTCTTGCTAATTCTACTGAACATGCACCTATGTGAAAGCATATTGCTTAACACAAGCTACAGTTTCCAATTTAGGGCCCATTTGTACAGGTTTTTGAAAAATCTACTTATGATAAGAAGTTGCTTTTAAACATATTTAGATAATTTGCTTGAAATGTTTTGTCTGACTAAAAGAATTCTTTGAGAAAATTGACTTAAAGTAACCTCCATAGGAATCCTTCTACAAGAAGTAGAAGCACAGTCAAATTGGCCATTAAACGTATAAATCTTTCTATTGAAATTAGTTTTGAACAAGTTCGCTCTTACTACCCTTGCAATTGATACACATAAGAGAATAAAAAATTACAAAGCAGCCTAAATTTCAGGAATAAGCTTAGCTAAAATAGTGGGAGATTGCCAATTATTTTAAGGCAAATGATTTTGGAAAGAACCCTTTAACCCGTGCAAGATGCTTTATGTGGGGAACCAAAAGGTATACATGTGCATGCCTAACACAAAATGTTCCCTCCATTGTGTATTTCCATGCAAACACACCAGAAAATTCCATGCAAATTACAGATAAACAGGACCAGAAGAATACATAGGTTTCTACTAAATGAGGACTACAAGAATTTCATCGACAAATTTCCCCAAATATTCACTATTTTCTTTCTGTTTAACAAGAACACAAGTACCATAAAAGATCTGAATTTAGTATATAAACATAACCTAAAAGTTCTCAATCCATAAGAGAGTGAATCAAAAGAGTTTTCTCTTCACACCATAGACGAAGAAATGTTTGATCTTGAGTATTCACCAGCTACGCATCCCCAGCAACTTCTTAATCCAGTCGTTCTTAAACTCGAGAAGGTAATCAAGAATTTCCTGCTCCCCTGGAAAATAAAAGTTTTAAGGAAAATGTCTTCAGTTAAGTAGATACATAAGAGTAGATCGCCTAATAATCTCAGCTTTTGGTAAAGATGGAAAGAATGTGATGTGTGTGTACAGCTAAACCAGCGAGATTAGAGAATACCCATTTATCCAAATTCGCCAACAAGGTCAAATTAATGTAAAAATCTTGTGTCAAATCTTCATGTTTAAGTACCTGTTGTGAATTGGATCAGGTCCATTAGGTACTCTTCTCTTGCTCACACAATTGAGGTCGAAATTGTGGTGATGACCGCGCTTTCTGCTTTCTATGGGCTTCGAACTTTTAAAACTTCGGGATGATGAAATTGTGATGAGAGTCTTTCTATTGTTCTGGTGCGCCGAAATCCCAGTAAACAAAAACCAGAGAAAACTCACTAACAAAGCAGCACCTACAACACTTCTACCCATTGGGTGTCAAAAGGAAAAATTATGTGAAATCTGAAACTTTCTAGGACACTTATCCAGAGGCACTCCCGGAGCAGAGATTTTGCACGACTCAAGAAATAAGCATTCGAAGAAGATCGAGTCGAAGAAGAAAAGAAGCCTATGACAAGCAAATTGGAATTTTCTTGGCAGTATCATAGGTTGAAGACTAAACAAATATTGCATTTGTATATTTGAATGTACATAAATAGTAGTGATAGTAAAGTTCCAATTATCCCTTATTGCTTTTTCACCAATTGGTCCAACCAAGAACTCCTCCTTTACTTTGGCATGTGCATATTCTATATCATGGGACCTCTCAATTCCTTCCACCTATTTTCACCTGCAGTTAGTCTAAAGAAGACATTGAGTCTTGTGCCTCATCCACTTATTATGAATTCTAATAATAGAACTAACCTCCTAGGGGATAAAGTAGCCACAGCATCATGTTAATCTACTCGGATTGTTAGTGCATTACAAAATATAATTGCAACAAATAACTCAAGTTGTGTGCTTGCAGACTCTAAAATAACGCTCTAAAATCGAAGTATAATTGCACAATTACAAGTTTCTAAAGCTATACGCCAAATTTTCTTCATCTTCTGGGGGATAAAGAAGAGAGATCTTTTGTTAGTGATACTCAAGGTATCAACATGGATTGCACTCAAACAAAAAATGAAAAAAATAAAAGTTGAAAAAGGCCTGTATGTCCAAACAAAATTTACATCTCTTTCTGTCCTCCAACTTTAGGTTATTCAATTCAAGGTAAACAATAATAATGGCATGACCTACAACTGATTGATAAATTTATTTTTGATTTAATATTGTCACATACTTTTTCGCATACTAAAAGTATTGCCCCCTACTTAATTGTGGTCGACGTTGTTCAACATATTTTTAAATGAATAAATTGCTCACCAACCTCTTTTGTCATACCCGACCTACGAGTTGCCTTATTTAGGATTGTTTGGCAATACTTTTGATACAAACTTGAGTAGATTTTAATAAAAGTTGATTAAATATATGATTTAGAAATTGATAAAAGTTATAATTTCGTAAAATTCGTGAATAAAATTATTGTTGACTTTAACCTCACTTTTTAGGAACTTTTTAAACTATCCAAACGAGCCCTCAATGTATTTTTATTATCTAAGTTATAATGTTCAACCTGCTTTTAGTTTTATAATTCAATTTGATTTTGTCAAAAATTAGTTGGAACCCTAGGTTTGACAAATTGTGACGTGTCAACCATTTAGATAGTAACTTGCTATCCGATTCATTAAACTTAGGAGATTATTATTATCTTATTAGCCTATTAAAACCTGAAAAATAAAATATAAATTTATTTTTGCGTAAACGCTATTTCCATCCACACTATATATATACACACACACACACACACTTAAATAGACATAAATAAAAATTAAATAAATCTAAATTCATCCACTAATTTTTATTTTCATTAAATTATCTTAAATCTTTTTATATTCTTTTAGAACTTGTGTTTAACTAGAATTCTAATAGACCGGAGAAAATTACATGAATATGTTTCCAATTTTACAATAATCAGAATTTCAATAGATAAAGAATTTAGTAAACAATGGAAGAGATACCATTAAAGCAAATATATACAAACATAGCAATATATGAAAATGAATTTGAAAAGTTAAGAATTACCTTTTTATTGTGTTTTGTCATTAGATTTTTTTTCCCCCTAATGCATTAAGATATTTATGGGTTTCAGTAGCGTTCTTGTGATATTGTGTTTGTATTTGGAAGCTTTGATTTTCTTTTCTTGATTTTACGGTTATCTTCTTGGAATGATTGTATGAGTTTCTTTATTTACATTTATTTTGATTTTTTTGTCTTATTTTGATTGTACAAAAAAACTTCTAATAAAAATGTTAACGTGATTAAGTGAATAATATATGTTAATTTAATGTTTAATCAGTTCGGCTTTGTTTATTTCGTTCATTTGGTTTAAAAGAGTTTATGATTTTAGGGATTATATAAATCTATAGTGTTAGAGATGTATTTAAAGTATGATGAATATATAAAATTCATGTGGATGTATAATATTTTAATAAATTAATTTAATAATGACAATATTGAAATAAAATAGTATTTTTTTTAAAATTTTAAAATTATCGAAATATTGATACTTATTTATTTATTTATTTTTATTTTTTTTGACGATTTTGTCTCTTGTCTTCATTAACTAACAACGTCGTGGAAGCAACTTAACCAAACATTGTACCACTCTCACACGCGCTTCAAAGGAAAATGGAACTTAAACGCTAGATCGCGTGGCACCTATTTTAGCGCGTGAATTTTAGGTTCGGTTCATTTAATGTTTACCCGCGAAACCGCAACCCGACCCTCCTGACAAGGAGAGTGCGTACGCTGCAGAGAACCAGTCAACAGCATTGTCGTTGACCAATCATTCTAATCTTTGTAATGGTGCTTATGGAATATGAATAATTCCAAGTTTTATGATAGATTAGTAGTTAAGCGATTCCACTTTTTAGTTTTGAAGAATTAATTATTTTCTTGATTCTTCACTTACAATTCGAATTCTTCTGTTTCTTGAGCTGGATTGTGAGGATGGGGGCGTGTGTATCGAAGCCTAAAGGGTGTGTGGGAGTGAAGAACAAATTGAAGAAACCAATAAGAAGAAGAGGGAAAAGATCTCATAATTTATCTTACAAGCTCAATCGGGTCGAACCCTCTAAAAACCCAGCGGATCTTGCTTACAACAACCCCTCATTTCAAGGTACCAGATTTAGCTTCGATTCTCATATGTTGTTTCAATTGTTTAATTAAAACAGCATTACGTAAAATATTGCACTGCTTAAAGAGGGGATAATGTTTATGCGTTTTAGTGTATTTGCATCTTCCAGATCTTTTCTTTTTCTTTTCTGCCCCCAAGAAATTTGGAATTTTGTAAAGACAAAGATAAATTTGGGATTTTTAGCTTCTATTGTCATATGTTTTCTGTTTAAGATTCCAATGTCTTTTTTTTTTTTTTCAGTTCAATTGGTTCAGCAAAACTGCAATATGTAAAATATTGCACTAGTTATTTTTGGTTTAATGCATTTATTGGTATATAATCACTACGTTGTGTTGTACTGCTCCAAGAAGGGATAATGTTCGTGCATTTTTTAATGTATTTACATCAATATCTTCCTAGCATATTTCTAGGAGTTCTTACTGAGAAATTATTGATGCCATACTTTTTCTGAGATTTATCTTGATTTCCTGTTTATAGTTCATGTAAATTATGGGCATTAATCATGTATATATTAATGTGTTCATCTAGCATATTTTTCATAAATCCCCATGGTTTATACAGGGAATGGTGAGCCGTGGTTTGATCTGGACTCGGTTCTCGATTCTGATGGTGAAGACGAATTTTATAGCGTTCAAGATGGCAAGTAGTTTGAATATTTTGCGATTTTTTGCTCACATATATTGTAGAGTTAATTATGGAGTTCCTTATTATATTCTATTTGCAGATGTTTCACAAGCTGGATCCATATCAACTGGTGTTACTCCAAGATTTTCGAACATAGCAGATTATAATGGTATGGAATTTCAGCTGATTTCTGATGAACCTCAAAATGAGGCGAGGAATTCAGCTCATTTGGAGAAAGGCTCGGTCCAATGCAGAGATGAAAGTTCTGGCAATGATGATGATACGGGAATTTCTCACAACTGTGGACTTCTATCGAATACCCTGCTTCCTTGTCTTGCTTGTGCCGAGTCCTTAGACCAAAAGAGAAAATCGCAAAGCCCGAGATCACCAAGTTCAAGGAAAAAACTGTCCCTTACTACTTCTTTCAAAAGGAGAGAAAGACAATCAAATACTATGTTGCGTAAGTGTGTTTTTGCTCTTTGCATTTGGATTAAACGTTATTGTGACTAGAATAAACGCAAGCGAGAAAGAAAAAAAATGCTATACTTAATCACGGTCAATGATTATGTGTCTGGTTTATGTTCAGCATCTCCAAAGGCCATTGTGGGAAGGCCCATAGCGGGTTCTCAAGTAAATCGTTCCCCATTAGAAAAGAAAATGTCTGAATCTTGGTCACAGATCGAGCCAAATACCTTCAAAGTGCGTGGACGAAATTTTCTTAGGTGAGTTGTCCGTCTGAACGTTACTCTCTTCCGTAAATAACTCATTAGCCGCGCCCAAATGTCGTGACATATACCATTCAATATCCATTTATTACCTTTTGGCTAGTAAACTCATTTAGTGCATTTTAATGTAACAAACTGTGTTTTGGCAGGGATAAAAAGAAAGAGTTTGCTCCAAATCTTGCTGCATTTGAGCCGTTTGGAGTGGATGTATTCTTATCTCCACGCAAAATCCCTCACATAGCTCGGTTTGTGGAACTCCCTGCCATTGATGCATATGGAGAAATTCCTCCAATCCTTGTTGTAAACCTTCAGGTATATTTGCACTTTCTATAAATTAGTTTAGTTCTCTTTCATGGATCTTTTTTGTAGCTGAATGAAATGTAATTTCATATATAAATGCCACCCCGAGTATATATATCAAAATGCTGATTTATTTGTCTTTATACATCTTCTTGATAACAAAAGTTTGCTTTTTTACTGCATCAGATACCACTTTACTCTGCCACCATCTTCCAAACTGAATGTGATGGAGAGGGAATGAATTTTGTTTTTTATTTCAAGCTTTATGAAAATTATTCAAAAGCTCTTCCTCTTCACTTACAAGAAAACATCAGGGTAAGATTAAAGCTTTTCTACTATTTCTAATACATCTAAAATACTATAACAATTTTGTTAGTTGTTTCTTGTCCACTCGAATGTTTATTCATTGTCGCATAAATTTTTAACTCCTTTCTTTTTATAAAACAGAGGATAATTGATAATGAAATAGAGAGGATTAAAGGTTTTCCAATAGATGCTAATGCACCCTTCAGGGAAAGATTAAAGATACTGGCCAGAGTTGTGAATGTAGAGGATCTTCAATTAGGCGCAGCTGAGAGGAAGCTTATGAATGCTTACAATGAGAAGCCAGTTCTTTCACGCCCTCAGCAAGAGTTTTACTTGGTAAAGTTACTCCGAAAAATCTTTTGTGGTGTGGTTCTTTGAATATTTCCGTCTATAGTTATTTTAATATTTCTGCCTATAGTTATGCCCATATCAGTGAATGGTTTCATAACTTACCTCGAAATGGGTTAAATTTAAAATTAAAAATTTTCGTGGTGTTATCCTATAGTTATTCTTCAACTGTTTGCTCTCTGATGATAAATGAGTAATTACCTTAAAGCACAAAAAATGATTAAAAAAAAGAGAGAGGAGTGGAACTGGCGGAGTCTTACACTGGCAACCAGGAAACCTGAATTGTGTCATGTATTTTTAAGCTTTCCGTGGAGAGGGGTTTTTTTTCTCTTCTGAAATTTTTGACCATGTATCTCACTTGAAAAAGGCTTGAATTTATCTTTCTTAGTGTTCATACCTCCCCACTTCCACCCACCCCTCCAAAAAAAAAAAAATTTAAATCTTTTATATACTAGAAACATTTGGTTGACCTTATAGATATATGAACAACCCAGCTCTCTTTCTTAGTGGTCGATCTATGGTCAAAAGAAAAGTATACAATATGATAAGTTCTATAAAGTCCATGACTTGGTGATTTTCGTCTGTAACTATTTAAGTGCAGCAAGGTACGTTTTCTAGACCGTCTTCATTTATGCTGGTCAACCACTCTTTGGCCATGTTTATATGAGCTCATCTACGAGGGCAACTACATTCTATACTGAGATCTTGTATTGCTTACAGTAGAATTCTTTTTCAACATTTGCTAGTCCATTAAAATCTGTGCAGGGAGGAAACTACTTCGAGATTGATTTGGATATCCACAGATTTAGTTACATTGCTCGAAAAGGTTTTGAAGCATTTCAAGACAGAATTAAACATTGTGTATTCGATTTTGGTCTGACCATTCAGGTAGCTATTTGAACCCTTATCAAACCTAATGTTTGCATAAAAACTTCCGAATTTTACATGTTTTGGTGTAATGTAATGCAGGGAAACAAGACAGAAGATCTGCCAGAGCATATGATTTGTTGCTTAAGATTGAAAGAAATTGACTTCGCTAAATATTGCCAACTCGGTTTCTAAGTAAAAGAAAAGGGGAAAATAAAGACCGCTGTGTACTTTCTATATACATCTGAAAGTGTATTTTGTATTACCCACGGGCACTTTCTAACATAATCCTGTTTTTCAGCTGTAAAGAATGGTTGAATCGAGTGTACAGCTCTATTGAAATAGAAATAAATCAAGCAAATTTTTCATTTCTTTTGCCTCAAATTCTACGTTGTAATGGTTACAAGAATGAATTATTCTATGTGTACATAATAGTTTACACAATCTTTTACACCCCTCTCACATGAAGGGAGGTCCACATACAATAAAATATTTGCGAGTTCGACATGTTATTGTATGCAATGACAAAATATCATAGCCCCTGCTTTTCTTGCCCTATTGGGGCAACCCCTGTGGGTACAAAAAACATGATTTCTATTCCGAACTCACACCAAAATTTATTTTATATTATTTTTATGTCATTAAATTTCAATCGTACTTTAGAAAAAACAAAATATAATTTTAAGAAAATAAGTAAATAAGGCAATAAATAGGATATTCCATTCCTCGCGCCCACTGCCCCCAAAAAATCTCAGACAGGCGGGACCAGCCCGACCCTTGGCCATCCCTAGGTGCCTACAAAATATAGGGTAATACTAGTGGTACATCACCACTAACATAAGGGTCTACATAATGGACATCTGGCGCTCTTTCATTGGAGGGAGGGTTGGTAGGGTCGGCACTCCCTCCAATGAGAGGATGCCGAGTGTCCATTATGGACACCTTGATGTACAAGGTGATGTACAACAAGAATTATCCCAAAATATATAGTTTGTCAGGGTCTAGTTGCTCGTGAATAATGAGTCGTGTCTAAAGTAAAAGAAAGAATTTTGGCATCAGTAAAGTTGAAAAAAGGGATTTGCAGAAGGGACAGTATGCATAAGCCATATGCTTCCATAAACTCATTACACAAGCATTCACATAAAGCACATTTATGTACCAAAAGGAAGAAAAATGAAAAAGAAAAAGAGGCTGTGCATCCAGAAGGATAAAACATTTTCTGAAACATTCAGGCAAACAGAATCCCAAAGATCAAAGCACACTGACATTGACACTTGACCAATTCTACAGTCAAAACTTTTGATTATTTGTCTTCATCAAATTGTTCTTTGGTATCTACAGATAAAGCAACAACGAAAATTAGTCAGGAATCTCGACAATCAGTGAACCCGTCGACGCGATTTTTACACCAAAAGTCAGTAAACTTTTCTTCTTTAAGACTGAGAGACTCGTAATGGCCAAAATAACAGATACAACAAAAGCGGGCATTCCTTTAATATTTATTGAAAGGGGAGACCTTATATTTGAAAAGATTTCATTAATCAAAAATATAAAAGAAAACTGAAAATCTACCCAACTTAAGAACGATCAATACAATTACATGTCAAAAAAATGGCTAGAAAAATTCGAAATCTAAAAAGGGACCAGATGACCTGTCTGAATCGGACACAGCCTTGTCACTTTTGGACAAAGATGACTTGACTGCTTGATTATATGATGCAAGATCAACTGGTTTAGGAATCTGTGGCGGATGAGTACTACGAATGAGAGCCCAGTTAATGCTATCAAAGAACGGATGCTGTTTTATCTCTGTGGCACCTCTTTTAAATCCTAATCGACTTTGAGGGTCCTTGGTGAGCAAACCTCGAATCAAATCCTTTGCAGCAAAACTTATCATAGAACCCTCAGGAAATTTCAAGGGTTGTCCAACGACGTTAAATAAAGTCTCTCTATTACCATTGCCTTTAAAGGGTGTCCTCCCGTGAAGCAATTCGTATAAGAAAATACCAAATGTCCACCAGTCGACCGCACTGCCATGACCATCTCCTCTAATAATTTCAGGGGCTAAATACTCGTGTGTCCCAACAAATGACATTGATCGGGCTGCAGTTGGCTCTGCAACGAGCATGGGGAGAGAATCTGAAGTGACTACAGTCATGCGTTCACCTCTTGGCTTTGCTGTTTTTGAGTTAAAAAGTCGAGGCTTAAAGCAAGAGGGTTGGAAACAAGAAGGCTCTACACAAACGGGTAATTTGCAAGCTGGATCTATGCAAGATGGCTTAATGCAATATGAAGAGATTGCACAAGATTGGTGGGTGCTTGATGTAACAAGTGTGGGATTCACATAGCATCTTAGTGATAAGTCAAAATCTGATAACATAATATGCCCATCTTCCCTCACCAAAACATTTTCAGGCTTCAAGTCCCTGTATACCACTCCCATCATGTGTAGATACTCAAGGGCAAGCAACACTTCTGAAGCATAAAACCTACAAAACAAAATTTTGATTATCTAGAGGATATATGTATATTACAGAGATTAACGAATAATTGATATGGTTTACATTATCTGTTTATCCAAGTCTTAATTCGATAAAGACAATTGAATTTATAACTGATAACTGGCTAAGCTGATCATAATTTGAAAAGAGACATTATTATCAAATTTTATGGACAATACATAGATTCTATTCATAAATTTTTCATCAACAATACAAGGTCTTATCACTCTATCATACTGATAAACACAACAGCTTTAAAAAAAAAAATTAGTTGCCAATTTCCAAATTTCTCAGACAGTAATCACTGTTCCATGAAATGAAATTCAGGCACTCACTTTTTTGTTCGTCATCACTATTAATTTTCAATAATCAATCAAAGAATAGTTAGCTATCTTATAAGGCAGCCTAATTGACTAAGAACTAAAGTATCGATAAAGAAATCATAATCTTAGTATGAAGAGTTAACCTTGCTGCTTGCTCTGAGAAATGCTTGCCCGGTTGACGCTGCCTAAGAAAATGCAGATCTCCACCACTGCAAAACTCCATAAGCAAACACGAAAACTTATCTGTCTCAAAATGTGAGTAAAGGGTAGGAAGGAAAGGATGATCCAATAAACTTAAGATATCCCTCTCAGTTTGAGCTCTCACAACTTTCTTCCTATTGACTAACATTCCTTTATCCATCACTTTCATAGCAAAAAGGCATCCCGTACCCCTCAACTCCGCTAAATAAACGCTCCCAATGTCCCCAAACCCCAATTTCTTCAGAAGCCTAAAATGCCTTATACCCAACTCTTCATCTCTAGGCTGCACACTTTGTATTGCAACCCACCGCGAGTCGTTCCCCCTGTGAGGTTTTGATGACCAAACACTCCTAAAACTAGCCTCATTCAAGTCCACACTATTACAAACACTAACAGAACTCAAACTACTCTTCCCACTGTTCACATATTCCTCCTCACCTTCATTCACCTTAACATTCTTAAAATCCACTTCTTTATCCACCAAAGCTGCATCACTTATTTTACTACTGCCTACACTAACATTATCAGACCCAGTTACAGTACTGCTACAAAAATCAATGCTTGAACTGTTATTGATGCTAAGATCCTTAAAGCTCACTTCCAATGAAATGGGTTCATCATTTGAGCTCTTATCACAAGATTTACTCATGATCGAGAAAAATAGTAGTTACAATGGCTGATGAAATGACTTAACGAAAAAATGGGATGTTTAAAAGTGTTCTGAAAGGGAGGGATGGTCAAATGGAGTTTTGGTATTTGGAGTTTGGAGACAAACGCCGAGGCAGTCAAAGAAACAGATGCGGGCGTCAAGTGAGCACTGCATAGGGTACTTAAATGGCGTTCAAATTTGAGATTTGAGAGGCCCAATGAAATAGTTTTGGAGTTTGGCCATTAATGGAACAGCTTGGAAACAAAAACGCAGTGGAGTTTGTATGTGAAAATCAAATACGCCATTATGTTGTGAATTTTGATGCCATGGATATTCTGTGCAGTATCGAAACATTAAAAATGTCATTAAAGAATGGCGTATATGAGATGAAGAAATTTCTTCTTATAATTTTAAACATTTAGTGCCTGATAATACATTTGAAAAATCAAAAATGACTTCAGATACTAAGAAATTACTTTTGAACATATTTAAGTAACTTTTTGAAAATATTTTGTCTATTTAAAAAAGTTTTTTAAGTTTTAACATTCTTAGAAGGTTCTTTTACAAAAGATAGAAGCAAAAAATAGAAGTCCTGCAAAACGAATTTTAAGCTTAAACCAACCACAATCAATCCAATGATATTTTGTGGTCAATATATTGATGATTGAATCGGGTAAGATAGCACTTTTGTCGTTCAACTAATAATCAAGTTTTAAATTTGCGATTGATGTTTATATTGTTCTAAAGTGGTCTTATGTTGTGACAGCACACGTCACCTAACTACTGGGCTCCTTTTTTTGGGGACTCTTTTCTAGAGTTTGTTGAAGTTCTTGCAGTATGGACATGGGTTCTTTCAGTAATGAGAACAATCTCTTTATATAGATGTGGTTGAATGTGACATCTTAAATGTTGTACATAGTGTAAAGACGAAATGGTTCAATTTTGTTGGATATTGTAGCATTGTTAGAAAATGTAAGAAGTGACCCTTGTTGCTAACATCTTTATCTAGTAGAAGTTGATGAGAGTGGATTTGCATGTCCATTGGACAAATGTTAATTTTTATCACCAAGAAGTAATTTTTAATGCAAACTAATATATATTATTTTCAAATACCAGTTTACCTAATTTAAATATAAAAATTATAAATTAACATGCTTGATGTCAATTTTCAAAAAATGGATCTTAGATCCTTACCTGCCCCTCAGCAATCCATATCCAATCTCATAAACAAATTGTCACAAACTGTGATGTATATAATTAACAAACATTAAAATTTCAAATATGAATCTAACTTTATCTTTCAAAAAGAAAAAAATAAAGTTAGAATAGAAAACCAACCGAAAAACAGATCAAAGGGATGTTCACCTGCCACTCTGTATACAAAATCCCAGTTTTTATAAATCAAATTTAAATAATTGAACATGCTTTGAATATTGTAAGTCAATCTAGGTTCAAATCCTATTATAATATCCTATTTATACCTAATCAGATCAATGTATGATCTAGAGCTGAAAGAAAAGAAGAAACTTGTAAAACAGACAAAATAAACCTTTAGTTACATTGACAATTTTGCCTGGGTTGTCATTGTTAAGACTTGGGTTCCTTCCTAAAAGGTCAACCATCTTACGGGGAGTAGCTCAAATCCTTATAAATTTATCTTGTCTTAATTGGATCAAATTGTTCGTTGATTTTTAGTATCTCTTAACATGTCATCGCAAGATAATGACTCGTTTAAGCAGATCAATCTTGAAATCTGCGTGCTCCTTTTTTGAGTCTTGTCTTAATTGGATCCAATTGTTCGTTGATTTTTAATGAGCTCTGATAAAATATTAAGATTTGGGGTTTCATCTTAAAATCCCAACATTGTTAAGAGAAGTAACACAAACATTTATAAGTTGATCTATATTTTCATCTTTATTCGATGTGAAATTTCATCACTTAACAGTCATCACCTTAGTTACGTGTTTGGCACGTAGTATTGGGTTGAACTGGACTACATGACTAACAATATTTTACTTAACATTTTCCGGTATTGTTAGAGTCCACCATATAAAACAACCCGTAATTGCCTAATATGGTATAGTTTCTATTAGAACAATGTTGTTAACGTTGGATGTTGTGTGTCTGTCATCGTATAGATTGAGTAAATAATCAAGTATTTGGATATTGCCACTTCTTTCGTTTGGATAAATAAATAAGATGTGCGGTCGTGAAGTGTGCTAATCAGTTTTTAAGGATGATATTTGATTGAATGAACGAAGAATAACACTTGGATTTCCAGGAGGATTTCTCACCCTAAAAGCAATTGATTTTCGGATTATGCTTAGAACTCTTTTTCAACTGTCAATTTTTATTAGACACCTGATGTGAACTTCTCTTCTTAATCTGGAAGTCAGTGAATAATAGAAGGCTAAATCATTCCAATTCTATCCTTCTCGATTTTATTAAGTAGAATATTTCTTCATCTTAAAGACTGGGTTTATTAACTTGAAGTAGAATCAAAGCAACTTCTTAGAAATTAAATATATGTACAAGTACTTTTTGCATTCAAATTTACTGTCAGAGTCGAATCCACAATGCATTTTCTGGGAAAATTTGTAGCTTTCTTTCTCTTCCTGATATGGGACTTGTGCTCATCTGGTAATTTTACATTTTGTTACTTTTTTGTCCATGGCAAATTTATTAAGAATAAAGCTTAGTCATACTTCCTATCTCGTTTGAGCAATTATATGCAGGAAACTTTGCAGTACAAGCTTGCACGTTCTATGTGAGTAACAAATGTCCATTTCCTATATGGCCTGCTACTGCCCCAAACAGTGGCCATCCAGTGATAGCCAAAGGAGGATTCTATCTACCACCGGGAAACATACGAAAATTCCAGGCCCCGGGAGACTGGACTGGTCGCATTTGGGCAAGGACGGGCTGCAGTTTCAACTCAGACTCAAATCATAAGCCTGCCTGTGAAACAGGCGATTGCGATGGACAACTCGAGTGCGATGGAATCATAGGCCTTCCTCCGGCGACACTAGTTGAATTTGCACTGCAGGTCAATGAACATCTCGTTTAATAGCTTATTTTGCTAGAAATATTATTTATTTGAATTTTTTCCTTGATATGTCTCTTCAAGTGAAAGTCTCTCAGAGCCACTGGGGTAAGTACCCGACCGTAAACTTCAAGGCCTCGTGAGATTAGTCGAAATGCGCGCAAGCTAACTCGGACACCCATAGTTATCAAAAAAAAAGTGAAAATTAGATTCTTTTTTTCTCAATAGCTTAACATGTGTGCAATTTTCATGAAACGAGAATTGCCATACTAGTCCCCAAAATTTAGAAGGAACAAGTTGGTACTAAATATTTTTTATAATAGAAAATGAGTCCCCAGTAACAGTATGATATTTGAATCTCACACGGAACCTTATAGATTCATAATGTTGGACAGTTTTCAATGACTATTTATTCAACTACAATGGAAGGTTGAAAATCATCTTGCTACTCGAGCAATAAGTTGAGGATGTTATATTGAACGATATCATCTAGAAGTTTACATTATCTGAAATCCAACACGTGTATTTATTTAAATTTTATCTTTTCGATAGGTCGATAAGAGCAAGCCAAGTTTCTACGATGTTAGTATAGTCGACGGCTATAATCTCCCAGTTTCCGTTGATACAACGACGTTATCGAGAAAATGTCACATCGGAGGGTGCTCGAAGAATTTGAAAAGCATGTGTCCAGATGAGCTCCAAGTAGTGAATGGTCAAAGAAAAGTTGTGGCTTGCAAGAGTGCTTGTTTGGCATATAATCTTGATTCATTCTGTTGCAGGAATGAATATGGCAGCCCAGAAAAGTGCAAACCTAGTTTGTATTCGAAATTGTTCAAGGATGCTTGTCCCTCTTATTCCAGTTATGCCTTTGAAACACCATCTCCATTGGTTAATTGTGTTTCTGATGAGTATGTTATAACTTTCTGCCCAGATAGATGGGGCCGTGAACATATGTCCACTTAAGAATTAAGTGCTAATTCTTTTGTTGTATACATGTCTTATTTTATTCCATTAATAAAATAAAATTGTCTTTGTTCCTTAGCCTCTATTTATTTAAGCAAGTCATACCTATTAATTTCTAATTCCTATACATATACTCTTGTATTGATTGATTAAAAAGAATGTGAAAGGCCTCCAGTCGTAGGTGGTGGCAGGTGTTTCGACAGCGGTGGCTTCAGACCCGGCCCTGGACCAAAGCTACGAAGGCAATGGCCTAGGGCCTCAAATCTTTAAGGGGCCTCAAAAAAATCAAAGGAAACGAAAAGGGTGGAAACGAAAAAAAAAATGGAATTTTACCAAATAAGGAAGGAAATGAAAACTAAAACTCACCGATTGTGTGGAGAAAGTTAAAAGAAATAACATAGGCAATTTCTTTCACCTAATAAAGATTGAGAGTGTTTAGGGGTAAAAGATAAATAAAAAAAATTGCACTATTGATTCATAATTTATTGCCTACATAGCAATTTAGGTCTTTATTCATTATAAGTTCCACGATTGAATCCTAAACAAAAATATGATGATGTTTAAAGATTTCTAGTTGATTTCGAAAAGCTTAGCCTTCATTTTGAGTAGTTTCATTACTTATTTTACATTTCAAAATGTGAGGTATGCTAAATTTTCGAGGTTCTGAGAAATATTTTGTTTTGCTACTATATTTTGAATTGTACAAAGTTTTCGTTTAAATAATAACATATTTTATTTAAATATTTAAGTATTGTTGCGCTTGAAAAAAAAATTATGTTTTAAGGGCCTCAATATTCTCAAGGCCGACCCTGAATGGCTTCCAAGGTTTCGCTGCCGGTGACTTAATGAAGATCACGATGGCGTTCATAGATGAAGTTACTGCCTCGTGCTCTGATAGCATGTTCAGACTACGGTTTGTTGGTACTCAACAAAATAATAGATAGATACACATTTATTTTATCTAGAAGAAGATTCGCATTATCTCTAACGCTAACAAAAGATGATGCCTAACACTAAACCTCAACTCCCTTGAAAATTCATTTGAAGGTTTTTTTTTTATCGTCAATTTATTCGAGAATCAAGGCTCGTCAATTCACTCATGAATTACAGGCCAAATTTGAGTATGCAAAGATGAGTGTTTTGTTAGTGCATTTTTTAAAATTGAATACTTAATAAAATTATTTAACTTCTTTTTTCTTGTTTAGTACTATCTATACATTCTATTTTTAATTTTTTGTGCAGATTATAAGATGTGGAATATTTTTTATTTCATTAGACTCGAAAAAGAATTAATAGTAATTAACTAATTATTGCAATGTATTACTTTGCTTACGAGGTTTCTTTCTAAAGAGTGTTGCTCAATCTCCAAAAGCAGGCACATCATATCAGTCAAACTTGTATTATATTCTAAGTTATTCTGACCAATAATATAAAATAGATTGTAAATCATTCTTCATTTGACTTTATTTTTCGAATATTAACTATTAAGCAAAGCATATATGATTCAATTTTAGAATATAAAAAAATCTCTACTGAGCTCGATCGACGCAAAGACCTCATGGTAAGCAAACAAATTAGGAGGAGAGATGAGGAATATGGGTACAGTAGGCTTAGGGACGACAACAATAAGTACACAGGTCTAGACAACGGCTGCTTTTGTTGTTTGATCGAGGAGTGGAGATAGCCATTACAGCCCACATTGAGAAGATTTGTAAGAACATTACTTACTAGCCAACACTTTAAAAAAGCAGAAATTTTGGTAGAAGAATCGGATCGGTGAATCTTCATGTTGAAACTTCTTGTTCCTTCTGTAATACTGGCCACTGTTATTGACTCAACCTCACCAAATGTACCGTAAGTGATGAGTAACATGGGCATAGCCATCTTGCAATTTTAACTTCCTAATCACCCTAGAATTAGAGATCTAAAGATTGAGTTTTTACATTTATTTCTACAATTGGGGGGGGGCTAAAACCTTTATATTCTAAAATTTGAGTCAAGAACCAGCTATAAATAATTCATAACCATGCTAAATAATAATATAATTGCTTTAAGTGTATCATCACTAAATATCACAACTTGGCAAGGCGGCAGAAGGGGAGCGGAGGTGGAGGGTGGAACAGTATCTCTGAATCACTTTGGCTTGCATTAATGAATTAAAAGAAAGAAATTCCAGGATAATTTGATATGCGAATGACAAAAACTCGTCTGTGTTCAATTTCATGAAATTCACCTCAGCGAAGTGCTCCATCGACCGGTAATAGTAGGCCTCGATAATTACAAGGAAAAATGATTATAGCTCTACGATCAAGATCAGAACAACGTATGCAAAGTGTCCTGCATCTGTAACCTCTTCCCACCGAATACAAATTTGAGCAGAAACTGGAAAACAGAGGGATCAAGCGAGCCCTGAGCAGTCTTTCTCCTAACAGAAAAGGAAATGAATACCAGGTTGTTCATCAAGTTTTTGCCGCTATCATAAACAATCGGCCTCCTAAAACGGGTTTTTGCTATTTGCACTGTCTTGGTCGGAAATTGTCATTTGATAAGAGATAGCTTATCAGATTTTCTAGCCTCTTTGCACCTGCAGTAGGCCTTAGGAGTGTGATATCACCCGCAGTCAAGCATGGATCCGTTATGTTTTCCCGGCTGCCCACGCACCATCCGCCAGGAACAAGCATGTCTTTGCCCCGAAACAAGAGTTCAGAATCGATTCTTTCAAGCACTGGGTCGTCATGGTGAAACTTTCTTGCAAATGGAGCATTACTCTCGACCATCCTTTTCATGTCATGAACGTTTAGATAGTGAGGATGCTGCTTGGGCGGATTGTCCCAGGATATGAAGTGTACATCACTGTTCACAGTGGTATTCCGAAACTCTGGAGCATTACAGATTACGGTATGGAAATAGCCTTCTGGGGAGGAAATAAAGTTTGCATAATACATAAGGACAGTTCGGGGTAAGTTGTCCCAACCCCATATACAATAGTCAATGAAAGGTCGAGAGAGTGCCATCCAAGCGGACCCTAGAAGAAAAGAGAGTTGATTAAAATGAGTAAGCGAACTATGAGTCCAGATATTCAAGGCATAAAAAAAAATCCTTTCAAAATAAATAAGAATTCTCGTAACTTCCAAAATAGACAATCAAATTTTGCAGGAAAAAATCTTAATGGAACTGATTCTAATTTTTCTTCTTTTAAAAATTTCAGAAATTAGATTGCCACAAGTTTCACTAGATTCTAAAATCAAAATATCTTGTCTTCATTCTCACAAAGAAGCCTAATTCGAAATCAATCACTCAACACGAGATTTCTGCCCAAGAAAACTATCTTCCCTACTATTCCCTTCATCTTTGAAGTACTAAATTTCTAATCATTTCCTAACATGACACGTCCTCAACACAACAGATCTTAAAGACTGTCTTCTCAGTGTTTACAAGAGAGGTCCCAATCTTGTTTATGGTACCGAGCTTCATGATCACAAGTCATCATTCTTTGAGCATTGGGTTATTGGAAGCTGAAGTATAGTTTTTTAAAGAGTACATCTTCGTGGCTCAAGCCTCAAAGTCATTCATAAAGAGTATCATAAGTATTTCATGATAACATCGATGAAAATGCCCCAGATCATGAAACCAATGAAGATTCAACACACACCCTATTTCAACTTGAACCAATGTATTAATCATTAGCAAGAATCAAGAATCTCAGTTTCTCAATTTCAATGGAAAAGTAAAAATGTCACTTGCATAAAGAGTATTTTGCAGATATAATTGTCAGTTGAGATTCAACTATTAGCTTTAACCTATATGGTACAAAATGCAATGACGAAAATTGAACGTTTTAAAGAAAAGGTGTGATTGTGAAGAGTCCTTTTCAATGGAGTAAAGGTTTCAAGTTTCCATAGAGATGAACCAATACAGAAAGATGATGAGGTTGTCCTAGTGCCCAAAATAATCAATTAGCACCCTACATCTTGTATTAGAAATATATAAATCGTAAATTACATTTGTGAACAACTCAACACAATATTAACTGAAGAACCCACTTGCCAAATAGAAAATTTCAGCAAGTGCAAATACATAGAAACATCTTCTATCACAATCACGTGCACCACGAAGTCAGTACAAGCATTTTACTAAGAAAAAGGGTTTGATCAATAAATCACCTAGGAACCGACATTCTTGTGCAAAAAATCTTAACTGCCCAAACCCCATTAACAAAATACCTAACCTGCGCTTATTGGTTAATACATTGGTTCAAGTCGAAATAGGCTGTGTGTTAAATCTTGCTGTAATACTATTTTCTTGGAGTCTTCACATTGCTGTGAAGATAAATGGTATTACAGCAAGGTGAAGACTCCAAGAACTTATTTTTATAATTAATTCACACTAAATAAGACAGTCCACAACACGGGAAAAAAAAAAGGATAAATAATTATCAAACATAAGACACAATAATAAAAGCCAGATAAGTAATGCCAAGTTGTACCTGTAAAGAGTTTAAATGCTGTAGGAACACTTCTTCGTTGCGTAATCCAGAACACATCAGATTTCTTTGTCATATACAAACCAGGATCAACAATGACAGGCTTCGCTCTTTGAAACCTACACGCGTTCAATGTAATACCATGCCATTGATTAGATTTATAAATCCCTTAACCCCAAATAAAAATCAACAAGGCTACGTTAAAAGCAAAATTGGAATGTCCCAGAAAAAAAAAATTACTTACTCTTTCCAGCCAATGTTACTTGTATGATCAATAAAATTAAGATCTCTGGGCAAGTGCGAAAATGTATGCAGCAGATCTAATGATGAACCAAAACCCACATATCATTAAGCAAATTACCACAAATCCACTTCAACAAAAAATCAAAATAACCTAAAAATCCAATCTTTTTTTTTTTCTTTCAACGACAGAAAATATAAACAAAATGAATAAAATTCATTAGCATTAATTATTACCATCTTGAGTGATCAATGGATAATCAGAGGCGCTGAGATT